ATATTATTCAGTAGCATAATATAAGATAAATAGACATAAATCAAAAACTTGGCTAAATACTACCAATAATCAATGGGAATATACAATGGGAAAATATCTTATTCATTATAGCAGCAAAAAATATAAAATACTTGGTCTGATCCGATAGGACATTTTGGCTGATCTGAAAAGCAGAAAAAACAACACTTCCACATGTTCCATCCCACTCCCTACATCCAGCAGTCTCTGTTTAAACCTACTGCTATGTATGGCAACTTTGGCTTTCTGCCTATGCGGGGAAGCTGATATGAAAAAAAAAAAAACATCTAGGAACATGTGTATGAAGTCTCTCCTCTACATCAAGTCCTATGAAGTGGTTTTAAGCTCTTCAAATAGTAGGCCAGGGGAGTAAATGGGCAAAATCAATTTTCATGAAAGCAATGATGAAATTGCAAGGACACGTATTTTTTACAGGTCACGTGTTACCTTTGGAATACACAGAACATCTCAAGATAGTGTGTGTCTCAGAGTTAAAACTATTAATCTGGCTCCAATAAATGGAAATGTTATATAGCCTTCTGGTCCTTAAAAATATCCTACTTAGGGGTCAGAGTACTTCAGTAAAACAGGCTTCAGTGGAGGCTGTCTGGAATCCTTTCACCTAAGAGAGCCATCAGAAATCAACCTATTCGGAAATCAGCAGTTAGCGTAACGGCTATGTCGCTGGACTCCCACGTAGTCTACCGCGGTTCGCGTCCAGGACCCAGTGGCTTAAAACTCACACTGGGTGTGTGTGCGTGCATGCCCAAGATCCCGAGAGGAGAAGAGAGGAGAATGGAGGAGAAGGGATTGCAGCGTGACCATCTCCCCCGGGGGGTGATTCCTCACTTTCTGTCTCTATGTCTCTCTCTGTCTGGTGAGCACATGCGCCCTATAGCTAAAATCTCTCCAAAAAAAAAAAATAAAAGAAAGAAATCAACCTATTCTAAATCTCTTCTTCCTGTATATTATAATAATTAAATCAGTGTTACTCTAGACACTTTAATAAAGAGATATATACAATATATAAAAGAATAGAGAGCCCAGAAATGCATCCATTTTTAATAAATATATTATGAGGGAAACACTATAAATCAATAGTGAGAAGATCTATTATCAAATAAATATTGCAGGAAAAATTGGTTAGCTACTTGGACATTTTCTTTGTACTTACATTTTTAAATTATTCTCAACTACTGGACATTAAATTTGTCTTGTAAAGTTTAATAGGAAAAACATCTAAACTTTATTAAGTGTAAAAAAAATTTTTAAAAAGAGAGATTTATGCTATAGGGTGTGTGTGCTTGCTGGAGACAGAGACAGAAAGCAAGAAATCATCCCCCAAGGGGGATGGTCATGCTGCAATCCCTTCTCTTCCATTCTCCTCTCAGGATTTTGGTCACACACACACACACACGCTCCAGGCATGAGTTTTAAGCCACTGGGTCCAGGACTCGAACCACAGTTGACTACATGGGAGTCTAGAGACGTAACCATTACACCATCTGCTGGTTCCTGAAGTATAAAAAAAATTTAGAGCCAAACATAAAAACATCTGGAAATACAGGCATAGCAATTCACATTTTAAATATTTCAGGGCCTTTTAAGTTTAAAAGCAAAAGGATTCACAAAGAAGAATATACTTAGACTTAAAAAAAGAGATATTTTAAACAAATAATGAATGAAAATTTCCCACCTGATGGAAAATATCAAATTGGCTATCCCAAAAGCTCAGCAATCCCTCAATGGGGTGTGGTCACCCTGCAATCCATTTTCCTCCATTTCTCCACCTCATCAGAATTTTCCTTCAGTTCTCCAGCCCATTGGAATTCAGCCACTCACACGAGCCTGGCGTGTTTGAGCTAGACTAGGCCAATGATTCAAACTGTGGTCACCATGTGGGATTTAGCTTCTCTTGAGCAACAGATTACTGCTGCACCACAAAGCCAGTCCCTGATATTAAGTAAAATAAGTCAGACACAATGGACCAGCCTCGTAACACAGTGGTTAAGCACAATGCAAAAGAAGCCAGATCCCACATGGCTGACTGACTGCATTTCTAATCCCGGTCCTAGCAGCTCGAAAAACATACTCAAGGCTCAAAAAACATGCCAGGCACATGTGTGTGCATACTTCAAATCTGAACAGATTAAAATATTCTCCTCTTCTTTGTGAAAAAAGATTGTTAGATTTTAAAATCACCTACAGAATTTTTTCTTTTACTTTTACCTGCATTTGTTTATTTTATGCTAAATTGATTCCTGAACCATAAGTTTTTGTTTCTTCAGTTTCTTCTGAGTTATCTTACTTCTGTGCAACCTCCTCTTCTAGTTTAGGAACACTTTTCTCCTTTTCAGTAAGGATCATCTTGCTGTGGCAGGAGGAGCTCATGTATGGGTTAATCCAACCATGAACCCTTGTAAGTACCATGACACACACATCCCGGGTGCCTTGTTCATTTGAATGTGCTCAATGACCAGAGAATCTACATCTAAACCCTAAGTTCAGCATTACTCCCCACATTTTTAAACACGTGAGCAAAAATTCAAGCACTCTTTATGGGCCACCAACCTTGTGTCCAACCCCACTGCCTGGCCTGGGCACACTTACGAACTCCACCATTGTAATGATAGAATGGCGCACATGGCTTCTGGACAGTGACATCTTTCAGATACTTGGTGGAGTTTTTTTTTTGTTTTGTTATTGTTTTGTTTTTTGTTTGTTTGTTTGTTTTTTGAGAGGTTTTTGCTATAGGGTGCGTGCACTGGCCAGACAGAGACAGAGAGACAGAAAGCAAGAATCACCCCCCCAGGGGGGATGGCCACACCACAATCCCTTCTCCTCCATTCTCCTCTCGGGATCTTGGGCACGCACGCACACGCGCCCGGCTTGAGTTTTAAGCCACCGGGTCCGGAACACAAACCGCGGTCAACTACGTGGGAGTCCAGCGACATAGCCATTACGCTAACTGCTGGTCCCAGATACTTGATGGGATTTCAGATATGTGTACCCTTGATGGCCTGGGCAGTTTCATGAGTGTTCCTAAAGTGAACGTGAAGATTTGAACCTCTTGATTTGCATGATTTTGTGGGGTTCTCTGGGTCAAACAAATAGCGAACCATTTTCAAAGATCACCTGAGGCCACTAAGGAGGAAAAAACATCTATAGCATTTTTAAAATGTGGATTTTTAAAAAAATAGAGTTTGAGTCAATATCTCTGGGCTGGAACTCAGCCATCTGTGGCTCAGAAACTCCATTAAGTGATTCTGATGAAGTGAGCCTTGATTGAAATATTAGGTCAGAAGCAGAAAGAGTGCTGTTTCATTTCATCATTATATTTCCTCTTAAAAACATTTTTTGTCAAAGAACATGAAGCACAAACAACTGTCTTCAAATTGCAATTATCTAAAAGAGGAAAAAAGGCAAAATACCCACTTCCGCCCACTCTCCACTCCTCAGGTTTGGCTATTCCATCATTCAGAAAGCTCCTGCAGATCATTAAGTGCTTTAATTAGTTTAATACATAAGTACTAAGCTCAGACCATGCCATTAAAAACACCATTATTTCACCACTTGGGAGGACGTTTACCAGATTATTTAAAAGACTCTTCTTGATGGCACATCACATATATTTTAATTAGAGCAAAAAATGTTGGGCCAAATTAAAGAAAAATTAGTTTTTAAGTCTGACACCATTTCAGAGATAACAATGGATAGATCTTTATTTATAAGAGAACTACATGACTAATGAATAATTATAATTTTAAAATCATTTTTGAACCACACCTACATATTCAGAGTAACTAGATAAGGTGATAAATAGGTAGATAATAAAGATGGATAAATAGGGGTGTTAGGAACAGAAAACAGAGACATGATAGGGCCAACTGTGTTTCCACTGCCCTTTTCCCTCAAGTGTGCTGCATGAACTTCTCAAGGTATTTTGATCTCTTAACACAAAAGTTTGTGGGTGAAAAATCAGATCCTCTTGAGAACCAGCAGTTAGCGTAATGGCTATGTCGCTAGACTCCCACGTAGTCGACCGCAGTTCGCGTCCTGGACCGGGTGGCTTAGAACTCACGCCAGGTGCGTGTGCGTGTGTGCCCAAGATTCTGAGAGGAGAATGGAGGAGAAGGGATTGCGGCGTGGCCATCACCCCCCCGGGGGGGGGTTTGATTTCTTGCTTTCTGTCTCTATGTCTCTCTCTGTCTGTCTGGCAAGCGTATTGGCCCTATAGCAAAAACCTCTCCAAAAAAAAAATCAGATCCTCTTTACTAAACTATTGTTGCGCACCAATAGATCATGGTTTGGACAAAATATTCAACAAATGAATCTTGAATGAAATATAATTCAGTTTTTTGAAAAGTGAGGAATTAAATGGCCGATTTAATAGACACCATCCAGAGGAAAAAAGTCAGTTGAACTGATTTCACCAGTGGTTGGGTATCACATAGACAAGAGATGTGGGCATCTTTTCAACTTCTTCGTTAAAAAGAACGAAGAAGTTAAAACATAGTTAACTTCTCCCATTTTCAGAATTTACATCTCTTGAGGACAATTCAATAAGTTTTTTAAAAAAGAATTATTTAATATTTTAAGGGTTTTTTCCTAGAATTATTTTATTTAACTATTTTTTTTTTTATTTTGACCAGAGAAAGACAGAAAGAGACAGAGAGAAAGTGAGAAAGCAAGTTGCCAGTTTCAAGACTTGAACCATGGTCAGCCACATGGGAGTCCAGCAACTTTAACCACCATGCTGCCTGCCAGCCCCTTGTTTATTTTAATTCTTATTCTTATAATTATTATTTAATTTGACCAGAAAGAGAGAGGGAGGGCAAGTTCGAAAGCAAGCTGCCAGGCCCAGGACTCAAACCATGGTTGGCCATGTGGGAGTCCAGCACCCCAAGCACCACGCCACCTGCTGGCCCCAGGCAATTCAACACTTAGTGACTACTTTTCAAAAGACCAAACTTTTCCTTTACCTGAGTCGCTCTCTCGTACATGTGTATAGTTTTCCAACATGAAGGAAAAGAAGTTGGATAACTGGAAAAAATAAAAAATATATTAATCAATTAATGAACCTAAAACAGGTACCATGGCAAATGCTGTCAGTGTTCCACTGGAGTCCCCTTACTCTACCAGGGGACTCGCCTCCCAGTTGTCACAGGTGCCAAGGGTCACACCTATGCCTGCCTTAGGAGACTGTCCTCACAGATAGGTGGTACCTCATCCAGCACTGCCTAGGGTATTAGATATACACCTCTCCTGAGGGGCTGCCCAAAGACTATGACTGACTGAAGCAAGGTTTGACAGCCCAGTCCTTCACCTCCCTTGCCTCTGCATGGGACACACTGAGATGCATTTCACACTTAAAAGTCTTGACAGTATCAGGCTGAGGTCAGACATGTCCAGAAAACATATTTTTGCCTAGCTACTTCCTGTCCTGTCCTACTTTCTTCACTCCTTTGTTGGTTTTTCCTTAGAATACTCTCTATACCTCAGTTGTACCAAAATCCCTCTCTCAGACTGCTAAGAAATCCAATCTATGATAACTGTTAAACTGTGTTATGATCTCTCTTATCTTTTTGGTAGTGAGACTAAGAGTTAAGAGATACTCTTAATTGTCAAATATATTTGGGAAATAAAGGAAGGAGGGGAAAAGTGGAAATCTGCCAGAATAACCACCATTAGCCTCTATGTCAACCAATCATCTGTAAGGGCCTCATTTATATAGCACAAATAATTTCTCTCCAAGCCCTTCTCCCCATGAAGAGTGAACACCAAGGAACTTTATCAGTCTGGGAGTATGTTTGGGAGTTGAGGCAAGGAAGACTTCTCACACGAATAACAATCTATGATTTTAATGCTGTTGTTAATAGGTTTGTCAATTAAGTCAATAGAAATCAGGGCCAGAAGGTGGCGTGGTGGTTAAGGGTGCTGGACTCCCACACTCCCACATGGCTGACCGGGGTTCAAGTCCTGAACCTGGTGACTTGCTTTCTCACTTTCACTTTCACTCTGTCTCTGTCTGGTCAAATTAAAAAATATAATAATTATAAAGAGTTAAATCAATATTTTTTTGGAGAGGTTTTTGCTATAGGGCACATGCACTCGCCAGAAAGACAGAGAGACAGAGAGATAGAAAGAGAGAAATCACCCCCCAGGGGTATGGCCATCCCACAGTCCCTTCTCCTCCATTCTCCTCTTGGGATCTTGAGTATGCACGCACATGCGCCCGGCGTGAATTTAAGCCACCAGGTCCAGGACTTGAACTGCGGTTGACTACATGGGAGTCCAGCGACATAGCCGTTACAACAATCCCTGGCCCCCAATAAGTAATTCTTAAAAAAAAAAAAAAAAAATGGGTCAATAGAAACCACTAAGACACCATTTTGCACCACTAGGAAAGCTATCAGAAATAAACAGATAATAACAAGTGTTGACAAAGATATGGAAGAATTAGAATCTTGTACACTGCTCATAGGAACGTAAAAAGGCCCAGCCACTAACTCAAAAAGTTAAACACAGAGTTATCATAATATGATCCAGCAATTTTACTCTTAAATATCCAAGAGAATAGAAGATGTACGTTCACACATAAATTTGCACACAAATACTCATACAGTATTACTCATAAGAGCCACAAAAGTATAAATGGAGTTAAATAAATAAGTAATTCTTTTTTTTTTTTTTTTTTGGAGGGTTTTGGTACTGACGTGCATTCACCAGAAAGACAGAGAGCCAGAAAGCGAGAAATAACTCAAATAGTCCATCAACTGAGGAATGTAAACACAATGTACTCTATACAATGGAATGTTATTTAGCCATAAAGAGAAAAAAGTACTGATACATGCTACAACATGGATGAAACTGACAGACATCATGCTAAGTGAAAGAAGCAAGGCACAAAGAACCAGATATTGTATATTTCCATCTGTATGAACTGCCAGAGTAGGCAAACCCATAGAGACAGGAAACAGATTAATGGTTACCTAGGGCTTTGGGAGAGGAGTATGGGGGAGTGGCTTATAATGGGTCTGGAATTTTTGAATAATCCTAAAATTAATTGTGATGGGGGCCAGCAGGTGGCATGGGGGTCAAGGTGCTTGACTCCCACATGGACGACCATGGTTCAGGTCTCAGACCTAGTGGCTTGCTTTCTCACTTTCCCTCTTTCTCTCTCTTTTGTCTCTCTCTGATGAACACATGTGTCCTATAGCAAACTTAAAATTATATATAATAATAATAAATTGAATAATTAAAAAATTAATTCTGGTGATGGTTGCATAACTGTGAATATATCATAAAGCACTGAATATATACTTTTAAAATTTTTCATTTAACTTTATTCATTTATTTATTCATTTGTTTATTTTGATTTGACCAGAGAGGGACAAAGAGAGAGAGAGCAAGTGAGAAAGCAAGTCGCCAGATCTGGGACTTGAACCATGGTCGACCATGTGGGAATCCAGCACCTTTAACCACCACGTCACCTGCTAGCCCCTGAATATATACTTTAAATAGGTGAATTGTGTGGTATGTTAAGCATATCTCAATAAACCCGTTATTTTTTTTTAAAGGGTAGAAAAGAATGTGATAACACTAGAACGTTTGTATATAAAGCATATTAATACAGGGGCTCACTCTACTTTTATATTTATGAGTTTATCCTACAGTGTTTAAAAATATAGCTGTGGGAGCCAGTAGACGGCATAGCAGTTATATCGCTGGACTCCCAAACGGTCAACCTTGGTTTGAGTCCTGGACCCGGTGGCTTGAAACTCACACTGTTAATGTGTGCATACGTGCCCAAGATCCTGGCAAGAGAATAGAGGAGAAGGGATTGCAGCATGGCCATTCCTCCTGAGGTGATTTCTCACTTTCCCTCTCACTGTCTCTGTCTTTCTCTTTCTCCCCTACAAGTGCATGAGCCCTAAGGCAAACACCTCTATGAAACAACAACAAAAAACAGCTGTGAGCTCTGAATCAGGACAAACAGCATTTTTGACTGAATCATCGTATGCCATTTGTATAGCTTCCAAAAAGAAATTCAGTTATTTAATTATTTTTAAAAATTTCTTTATTATATGTAGTTCCTATAATAAACCCAGGTTCCGTTCCCAGACCAACCTAAACAGGCTGGACATGTTTGTAATCTTAACTAACTGAGAGGCTAGGGCAGAGAATCACAATGTGGCAAGACCCTGTCCAAAATACCTATTTTGGCCCAGCTGCAGTGGTGCAATAGTAGTGCAATGCTCTGCAGTGCTGGAGGCATATGGAAAATTAGGGTTCAGTTCCTGGGTTGGCCTTTATACACCAGGTGCATGCACATGCCCGTGATCTTGAAAAACTAGGGTGTGGGATCATGGCATGAGACCCTGTTGAGGGTTCTTATCTGTCTTTCTATCTCTCTTTTATTAAGTAAACTTGAAAAAGAACCCCTCTCTCTCTCCTTCTGCTCTCTCTTAAAAAAGAAGCACTTATTAAGAATTAAAACTGAAGGGCCGATAAGTGGCATCGTGGTTAATGGCTTACTTTCTTGCTTTCCCTTTCTCTCTGTGTGTGTCTTTGTCTGGTCAAATTAATAAATAATAATAGCAAATGGAATTAAATAAATAAATATTTTTAAAAATTAAAATAAAATAAAATAAAAATAATTAAAACTGGGTTTATGTATCCTTGTTGCAAGCTTCCATAAAGGCCTTTCTTTCAGAACTTTCATAGGTTTGTTGCCAGGAAATTCTTCTCCCTTTTTTTTTTAACTGTTTAAAGTAATTTTTTCCTTCATGAAGTAATAACTTTACTTCCTAATAAGGCATATGCCCCCCAAAGAGAATAAGGTTATTTTTATTATTTTAATAGATGTCAAGACTGAAAAACACTGTCCCTGTTCCAAATCACACTTCTCTCAATAGCAGTTCCAAGACAATGGTACCAAATTCTCCAGTAAAACCTTTTACCTGGGTTTTTCCATTTTAAATGGACCCCAAATTTCATTCTTTCAATAACAAGGGGTAAAGAGAGGCATTTACCCAAAAGAGACGAGCTTGCGAAACAGACCTGCATTTGGCGCTGTTCATCAGCATACTCGATGGACTGGAAGATGGCAAGAGCATAGCGCTGTCTGGCCCGCAGACGAGCTCTGTAACCTCGGTACCAGTTCTGGATGATCAACGCAGCTCTCAGCGCTGCAGAACCAAGGGACATTGAAAGGCAAAGGAAAAGAGTTACTGTACAGCTCTTGGTGAGGAGTAAACGTTTCAGGGGGAAAAATCTGTCTACTTGGACTCCTAGGTTCTAAGAATATAAAAACTCCAAACAATGAGATTTACCTCTATATTTTCTATCTAATGTCTTCAGGCTTCAAACACACATAGAATAATGATGACATAGACATTTGGAATAGAAGTTTTAGAGTCAGACTACCTGAATTTGAATCCCATCTCTGCTAATTACTGTCTATATGACTTTGGGTAAATTATTGAACTTTCAAATCCTTAGTTTCCTCATCTGTAAAATAGTGATAATAACAGCACCTGCTTCTGGCACTGCTTGGGCATATGAAATCTATGTATACCCTATGAAGTAGCAATTCCATTCTTCACTACATACCGCGAAGCGATTCTCACACAGCCCATAAAAGTGACATATAGGGATGCAAGTGTGTCTTTGTTTGCAACAGTAGGGGAGCTTGATACCAGCACAGACTGGCTGTCCATGCTAGGAAAGTGAATGTGTACCTGTGGTGAGCCCACACCATGGAGCATCACACCACCACTGGGAGCATAGTTTACACAAATCCAATGCAGAAAAGACTTATAAACAGGGAGCTTCTGTCAGAGCAGTTATTAAAAAATCAGAGACAGAACAAAATATAACATGATACCATTTTATATCAGCTAAAAATATACATACATAAAGCCACAGTATACATTTCATAAGAATATACCTGAAGGAAAAGATACACAAGATAGATTGGTTATTTACAGGGGAGGTGAATGAATGTGGGGTATTTTGTTCACTACTATATTCTCAGCACCCAGGATAAGGCCTGCCAATGGATATTTGCTGAATGACTAAATGAATACCTTCTAGGGCAGCTGTAATAATATGTAACGATGCCCTAGTAGTGTGCTGGAATTGGTATTGGTAATGTATTCATTACTTGATTGATCAATTTGATATAAAATGCTCAGCACACTGCATGGCATATATAAAGCACACATAAAATAATGGTACTCCTTTTTAAAAAGTACCTCTCTCTTTGGGGCCAGCAGATGGTATGGTGGTTAAGGCTCGGGATTCCACATGGCTGACCAGGTTCAAGTCCCATAGCCAGCAGATTGAAAATCATGGCCAGTGGAACCAGCAAATGGCATAATGGTTATATCACTAGACTCCCACATGGCTGACTGCAGTTCAAGTCCCGGACCCAGCAGCTTGAAACTCACACTGGGCACATGTACATGCATGCCCAAAATCCTGAGAGAAAGGGATTGTGGTATGATCATCCCCTCTGGGTAATTTCTTGCTTTCTGACTCTGTCTCTCTGATAAGCAAACATGCCCTATAGCAAAAATCTCTCTTTAAAAAAGGAAGGAGGGGGAACCAGTAGTTAGCATAATGGCTATGTCGCTGGACTCCCATGTAGTTGACTGTGGTTCATGTCCCGGACCCAGTGGCTTAAAACTCATGCTGGGCACGTGTGCATGCGTGCCCAAGATCCTGAGAGGAGAATGGAGGAGAAGGGATTGTGGCGTGACCATCCCCTCTGGGGGGTGATTTCTCGCTTTCTGTCTCTATGTTTCTCTCTGTCTGTCTGGCGAGAGCACACGCCCTATAGCGAAAACCTCTCAAAAAAAAAATAAAATAAAATAAAATAAATAAAAATTTAAAAAAGGAAGGAAGGAAGGAAGCGAGCGAGAGATCGTGGCCAACTGCATGTACGTGCATGCTCAAAATCCCAAGAGGAGAAGGGATTGAGGCATGGCCATACCCCCTTGGGGATGATTTCTTACATTCCCTCTCACTGTCTCTTTCTGACCACAGATGCCCTATGGCAAAAACTTAAAAAACAAAACAAAACAAAAAAATACCTCTCTTCAGGCTAACAAATTCTAGTGCCCTAAAGACTTCCTAAGTATGCATAATATTTCATTAGGAATTTTACAAACTACTGTGGACAAATGGGCTCCCATTTCAGCACCCAAGAGCCTAGCACAAGAAGAGCCATACCAGCCAGGATGCACAGGGTTCTCTCCCTTAGAGTCCCCAGGCTTCACTCAGACACCTTCTTGGTGACAGCTTTCCTGACCATTCTTTTTTTTTTCTTTTTCAACTTTTATAAATTTATTTGTTTCTGCTGAGAGAGACCGATATGCATTCCCAACAGAGTCCCCATGCCATGATCCACCCCAGTCTCAGCCAGCCTGGATCATGGGCATGTGCACACATGCCTAGTGTGAACAGGGAGGCCCTGAGGCATGAACCCAGGACTTATCCATGTGGGTCCAATTGTGTTATTGCTGTGCCACTGCCTGGCCCCCAGCCAGCCTTCTCTAAAGAGCATCACTTCCCACATTGTCTATTCCCTTCCTTATTTGCTCTCCACAGCACATAGACTACGTATTTTACTTAATGGGGATTGTCTGCCTCCCCCCAACACACACACACACACACACACACACTAAAATGTAATCTCTATAAGGGCTGAGATTTTGCTCTGTTGAGATAGCTGCTATATCCCCTGAGTCTGGAATAGTTCCTACAACATAGTAGGTACTCAGTAAATATGTTTTGAATGAATAAATAAACGAATAAAATTACTGTTTAGTTAAGACTTTCTATCTTGTGTTTCTCTTCGTGCTGATAGGTAGCTTTTTTATGTTTGATTTGGTTTTGTGTTTTAAATAAGAGGGTTTTTTTTATAGTTCTTTAAACAAGAAGTTACATATTCAGAATGGTAAGGCATGTAGACTCTCTGCTTTTGAAATCCTGCTAGTAGAGGCCTCCTGAGGAAGCACCAGAAGTAGTAAATATTTAATGTACCTTAAAGGGGTCTGAGTAGTCAGGAAGACACAGAGGCACAAGTGTGATAGAGCTGATTAAAATGAATTCAGATGAACCGGAAAGAGAATGAATCCTCTTGTGGCAAGAAGCTTTTCATGAGGAGGAAAAGCACGTATTGCCTCAGCTGTTCAAAGCATGTTGAGAATAGGGCATGGCTCAACTCTGGCCTGGGACCATAGTGTGCATTCTTGTTCTTTTCATTTACAGATACCTGCCATCTGCTAGAGTATGTGGCTGTCCCCGTCCAACCTTCCCTGGAAAAACAGCTGAGTACATGCCCAGTGAACATGAGGTGGTCATGAAACCTGCTTCTGGGACAGCAAGCAGGCCTTTTGAGGCTGCTCATCCACAGACTTGGGCATCCCAGCAGAATCAGGGCACAGACTGAGTCCTTGTCTCTGGAAAGAATTTTTTTTCTTCAACAGGAAGGACATGAGCAAGGAAAGAATGAAGCCAAGTCTCCAAAACATGACAGACATTCTAAAATTACACGTTCCCAGGTGATGAAGGAGATCACAATTTTATGATTCTCAGAAACCTCTGACCTTCCAGTTCGAGAAAGGCAAGAATTAGTGGTCGTTCCTAAGACTCTTTATTTACTCACTCACTCTCCCACCTACCAACCACATGGGTTAATAAAAATAAGTTCTGGATTTGTAATTAGGAGACTTCTGTTTGGCCCTGACTCAACCAAGTGCCAGCTGTATAACCTCAGACAAATCATTTAACTTCTCTGGTCCCGTTTCTCACCTAAACAATGATAATTTTGGATTATGTAATCTCTAAGATTCTTTGCAGTTTTAAAATACTCTAATTCCTCCATCTTTTTGTTGTTGTTGTTGTTCTAAATGTCAGAGATGCAGTTTACCTATTGGTGCACATAGAAATGCTGAAAACCGTCATTCAAGGACAAAATACGGTATGTGAAACTGAACATTCAAGCCAATAAGTCCTGAGCCAAAAAGACAAATTCTAAAGGCTACTTGAAAATAAAAATAAATAAATACATCTAAATTCTCCCTGTTGCAAAATGCAAGTCAAGTCACTAATATCCTTGGCTTTTCCATCAAGGAATGGTAGATAACTAGCGATGGGTTGGGGAGCATCAGACGTTGCCCCTATTACTTCTGCTTTAAATTGCCTAAAATAGGATTATAGTGTGTGATCTGTTAATTGGTTCAAGCGATAGCCTTTAGAAGTTGGGGGAAGATGGGTGGAGAAGAAGTGTAGACAAGAGGGAGCTGGGAGATAAAGACACATGAGAAGGGTTTAAGGTTCAGAAGATTCAATGAAGACAAGAGATCAGAGAATGGGGACCAGCAGGTGTCATGGTGGTTAAGGTGCCGAACGCTCCCACCCAGCCAACCATGGTTCATGTCCTGGACCTCGTGGTTTCCAGCTTGTTTTCTCACTTTCCCTCTGTGTGTGTATGTGTGTGTGTCTCTCTGGTCAAATTAAAATAAATGAATGAATAAATAAAATTAAATAAATAAGTCTTTAAAAAATAGAGATAGAGAGATCAGAGAATAATTAATAGTCATGAGGATTTCAGAGGTGGAGCTGTTCCAGGTGGCCACAGGGCCCAGGACATGTGCCTGGACAGCTGAAGCTGAGTAGAGGAGGGGACTGCTAGAGTTCTGACAAAAATACGGAAGGGCTAAAAAATGGTATCACCAAAGGGCATATGCCTAGGCTGCAACTACCGCCAGCTTGGTATATTTATCTCAGAATAGGTACAGAATTAGGTTTTCTTTACTTTTTATTTTAAAATAGTTTTCTTTAAGAAAGGTTTTTGCCATATGGTGTACTAACTCCTCGGAGAGAGATAGAAGGAGGGAAAGTGAGAAATCACACCCCAGGGGGGATGGTGATGCTGCAATCCCTTCTCCTCCATTCTTCTCCTGAGGCTTTGGGTACACACACACATGCACCCAGCGTGATTTTCAAGCCATTGGGTCTGGAACTCATACTGCAGTTGGCCATGTGAGAGTCCAGTGCCTTAACAACTACGCCATCTGCTGGTGTCAATTTTGGAATACTTTCAATTTTGGAATACTTTCAAATGTATGGGGAAATGATCAGATTCATACAGTTGCTAATATTTTGTCACATATGCATT